GTGTGGTGTGTGTGTGGTGTGTGTGGTGTGTTTGTGTGTGGTGTATATGGTGTGTGTGATGTGTGGTGTGTGTGGTGTGTGTGGTGTGTATGGTGTGTGTGAGGTGTGTGTGGGGTGTGTGTGGTGTTTGTGTGTGGTGTGTATGGTGTGTGGGGTGTATGGTGTGTGGTGTGTATGGTGTGTGGGGTGTATGGTGTGTGGTGTGTGTGGTGTGTGTGTGGTGCAGTGTTTGTGTGTGGTGTATATGGTGTGTGTGATGTGTGGTGTGTGGTGTGTGTGGTGTGTGGTGTGTATGGTGTGTGTGAGGTGTGTGTGGTGTTTGTGTGTGGTGTTTATGGTGTGTGTGATGTGTGTGTGGGTGTGTGTGTAGAATGTAGAAGCCCTTAGAGGTTCTTACTCTAGTTTTTACCTTCCATAACAGCCTGCCCAATTTCTGGCATGTGGCTGGCGCAGTGAGTGAGTGATCAGACCCACTTCACCACTCCACTTGTTGAGTGGAACAGAATGGATTTCTTCTGTGCCTCCTAAGTATATGAGAAGCTACTGACAGAGTTGTAGGAGTCCCACTGCTCCCAATCTGGTTATCTGATGGCTGAACCACTCTGGCATACTCACTGGTGGATAGCTTGGAGGAACTTCCTCTGGTGTTTCCTGACTTTGGCATGGTCAATCTTCTTTAGCAGCTTTGTGTGTTTATAGATTAACCATGTTTCCCGAAGGACATTGGCTGCAGCATTCTTGATCTAAGGAAGAATAAATAAAGTAGGCTGCTATCAGGTTCATTTTCTTAGGTTCACATAATATTTTTTGTGTGTGTGGTTGCTACTGTAGTCTACCTCATAAGGAAACGATTTTGCAATGATCTATTTTCTTAACCAAAATCACGAAACTCCTAGAAAAGATGATTAAGGCCGGGCACGGTGGCTCCTGCCTGTAATCTCAGAACTTTGGAGGCCAAGGCAGGTGGATCACCTGAGGTCAGGAGTTCGAGACCAGCCTGAACAACATGGTCAAAGCTGTCTCTACAAAAAATACAAAATTCGCCAGGTATGGTGGCTCATGCCTGTAATACTAGCTACTTGGGAGACTGAGGCAGGAGACTCGCTTGAACCTGGAAGGCGGAGGTTGCAATGAGCTGAGATCGTGCCATACTCCAGCCTGGGAAACAAGAGTGAAACTCCGTCTCAAGAAAAAAAAAGGAAAGAAAAGAAAGGAAAGAAAAGGTGATTAAAATTCATCTGCTATTAATCTTGTGTTGGACACTGCAGACTAGAGCTAAATTGAAGGGTTCTTTCTTTCTTTCTTTTTCTTTCTTTCTTTCTCTCTTTCTTTCTTCCTTCCTTCCTTTCTTCTTTTCTTTTTTCTCTTTTCTCTTCTTTCTCTTTCTCTTTCTTTCTTTCTTTCTTTCTTTCTTTCTTTCTTTCTTCCTTTCTTTCTTCCTTTCTTTTTCTTGATTATTTCAGTACTGTCTCTTGAGTGCTGTTGCTGATGCTATATTTAGACAGGTTGCATGAGCAAGACCTTGAGTCCTGGGGTCCCCTCGGAAAATAGCTAGCAAGATACCACTGCTGCCCTTACCTGCAGACTTCCGAGCTTCACCTGAGATTGCCACTTAGTGTATATGGTACATTGCTTGGATTCAGAGAGTAAACAGATTTCCTATCAGCTGGAGATTTTAAAAGACTTCTTTGAGAAAATGTCTTTCCCACTAATTGGAACTATAGGTACCAATAAGCCCATTGTCTCCTTTCCCAAATGGCCAAAAACATTTGCGCTGCAATTTTACACGTAAATGTAATTGGCACAAAACGGAAATAATTTCAAAGCAATGTCTGAAAATCAGTGAAGATATTTAGGTGTGAAACCAGAGCTTCCTCTTTCCCAAGGCTGGCTCCTTCACTGTGCACTGCAATCACACGTTTCAACATATGACGCTGTCATCTGTTGACATGGAAACCACTGATATCACCAGGCTCACGACTGAGCTGAGACATATCAATGGCATCCAGATGGCAGGGGACAAAGTTTTAATCCAAACACAGACATCCTCAGCAATTAGTAACAAGAGCAAGAGAAAACATTCCTTATTAAGCACACGCTAAACAGATTTTTGATTAACCATCCCCATTTCTGTCAGTCATGCAGATTGGCACAGGTCCACAGGCCTGGGGCCTGGAAATAAGTAGGCCAGCCTAATAGAAATCAGGTTACTAGCCAGAAAGGATTTTAATAAAATTAGAGACTATAGACCTGCTTCTTCAGACTGACATCAACAGATGGGACGTTGTTAAAATACTGAGACGTGTGGGAAGGCTAGGAAACATTGTTTTGCAGGCTGATAACTTTTGTGTGTGTATGTTTTAAAAATTTATTACTAAGGCTGGATTATATTTTTCATTGGCGCTGAAGTGATGTTTTTAAAAGAACAGCTAAGTCTTCTCAGAAATGTCTAAGGGACATAAATATTGCTTTTTTAAAAATGCAGTACAGATCCACCATGAAAATAGTTTTAAATGACTTAATTGCTCGCCTCTAGTACTTTCTTGCCTGAAAGGAAGCAGGTTGTGGTGAGAAGTTGGAAACGGTGGATGTCCAGGAGAGGACACTGTGGTCTGTGGGGTTCTGCTCAGGGAACTAGAGTGAACAGCAGCCTCCTGGGAAAAAAGGCGGCATGCGAAGGAAGCCTCGCTCTCTGCAGAGCACACACATTGAATACCATTGCCCTCCTCTTGCGGGGAGAGGGGCAATTGGATGTGTCATTTCTTCAGTTTCCCTAGGCACTTAGCCTCTTAGGAAAGCCTCGAGGAAACGGGAAAGTCTGCAGGTGAATCCCTGCTCTGTCAATTATTAAGCAGTTTAGGAGCAATTGCTTCATTATCTGTAAGATGGGAAAAATAAAGAGGGCTGCTATGAGGCAGTGATGATGGTGCTGGGGGCAACAGTTAACATCTACCAGGCGCAGCCACAGGTCTGAGTACTTCATATGTCTAAGCTCCTTTAATCCTTACCACAACCCCATCGGGGAGGTGCTAACATTATCCACATTTTTCAGACAAAGAAACCGAGACACAGACCAAGACTAGACAATTATAAATGGCAAACTGAGTCAGTGTGGGTTTGAATGCTGCATAAAATGTAAAGTACCGTACAGATATTAGTTAATATCATCTAGCTCAAACCCCTCATTGAACATATGAGGAAACCACTTCAGAGATGGGATGTGAGAGCCAGAATCACACAGCTAGCTAATGGCAAAGTCAAAACAAGAGCCAGGTCCAGGAAGAGCAGAAGGTTTTCATGTGGACTGAAGGAAAGACAAACAAAATCATTTCCTGTTTTCCAGGATCAAGGAATTGGAAAGAACATTGGATTTTTTTTTTTTTTTAATCATCATGGCCCTTACTTAGCAATGTGACAGAACACGGAGTCCAGGTCCTGCACTTAAAGTCAGCCCAAATGTAAGATATTGAAGTCACAGCACAGCCCGGGTAGCTGACAGAGGCAGTCACATCATCTTTATGAGTTTGGAGGGAGGCTGCTGTGCATTCGGGAAAGTGATGTTAACTGCCAGCCCTTGCACTGACTCTGAAATTAATTACCAGCAAACAGTCTGGCACAAAGCTAAGTAGATCAATATCTGCGAGAGAAAAAGAAATAGGCTTTTAACTGCACTGGGCTTTCCCAGGTGGACGGTAAATGCTATTGTGGCCAGGGTCTCCCTCCAGTTCACCTGGCTGATTGATCTAAGCATTGCTGGGGTCAGGAGCAGATGAGGTCATGTGCCTTTCCTCAGATTTGCCGAGCCTCCGAAGGGCTCCGTGCACCCTTCCTTGATGGAGGCTTGGGTACCTCCTGACCTCTCCTGGTGGGCAGAGGCACCAGGGCCAAAAGACGCTCTTAGGGTGCAGCAGTGCGAGGGGGCAGGGCTTAAGATGAAAGCAGCAAGCCAGAAAGAGTGGCTCAACGTTGGCCACAATCGGGTGGGTTTGGGGATGGTTAGGAGAGGAAGTGAATGGAAGTCCAGCTGTCCTGCCTCCAAAATGGGCTGATTGTTTTCTGCAAGCCCAGAAACTTTCCACCAAAAAAATTGCTTTCACTCTGAGTGGGACCAGAGAATGGGCTCTATGATCCACTTTAGGAAGGGCTCTAAAATTAATGGGCCTGGACGAGAAAGTGGTCCAATGAAGACCTTGAAAATTATGGAGACAGCTAACATATACTGAGTGCTTACTATGTGCCAGGATCTGTGCTAAGCATGTATGTCTGCATGGTTTTATTAACCCTCAGAAAAACTTGACAAATAGATGTGATCATGAGCTCTATCTTGGACCCACTAGTGAACTCTATGAGACTCTCTTTATTCATACATTTGAGGAACAATTAATGAGCACCTATGATGGGCCAGACATTGTACTAGCAAGTAAGGGTACCACAGTGAACAAATCAATAACATTCCTGCCCTTATGGAACTTACAATCTTGTGGAGAAGATGGTACGCAGTTTATATTATAGCATCAGGTGACAAGCACTTAAAAAACCACAACAACAAAGCAGGGTCCGGGGCTAGAGAGTGATGCAAGTGCTACCTGCATCTGTGAAACAGGATTACTGTGTTGACTAAATGAGAATATACTTAAAACATTAGCACAGACCCTGGCCATATGCCTCAATACATGGTATCTTTGATAATATTCTCCTCTTCCGATAAACATCAGCTTCCTTCCCTCTAATTTCCCCAGCCCGCAAGAAAACATACAACAGAACACACATCACTTCCTTGAGCTCTTGGCCATAGCATCCCATGTCAATGACTTGCTCTGGCCACCTCTCTGCCCAGGTAATCTGCTACTTGCTATTACAGAAGGGCTGTCGGTTGCGGCAAGAATGCTTGGGGCAGGAGTACAAGGGGGATGAAAGAAGCACCTTTCTTGGGCACCCTAAGCCTCCAGCAGCCCCAGGAGTCCTGGGAAATTCCAGGAGTCCCATTAGCAGAGCCCCCCAGAGAAGAAATCACTAGCATGCCCTTTATGCTGCCAGGAACCCTTGCCAGAGAAGTATTCTACTTGGAGGTTGGAGACAGGGAAAGGGAGGCCCGGCCGGTGGGTGTGATTTAAATACATGCATCTTGGACAATTTCTTCACTGTGTGAACATCACAGACTGTACTTAAACAAACCTAGATGGTACAGCCTACTACACCCCTAGGCTGTATGGTGTAGCCTATCGCTCTTAGGCTACAAGCCTGTATGGCACATTTCTGCACTGTAGGCAACGGTAACACAAATTACTAGGGGAGAGGAATTTTTCAGCTCTGTTAGAGGCTTCTGAGACCACCTTGGTATATGTGCTCCATCATTGACTGAAACGTTGTTATGCAGTGCATGACTGTAACTTGAAGGAGTTACACAGGTTGAAACTAGGCTGAGTGAGGATCAGATCACTATCGGAGAACCTGCAAGCCGGCCCTTGACTGAAGGTGTCCTTTACACACAGGACTAGAGAAAGGGGCTGGTTCCTCTTTCCCATTTGCCAAGCCCACTCTCCCCTCATCACCACCCCACAGACTTGCTCTGGCTTCCCCGGTTGCCCTCTCTTTCATCGCCCGGCTTGTACCTCCTCTTTTTCCCCCCTCTGTTCTATTCCACACTCTCTTTGCAGGCTTCTCTGCCTGCCTGACCCGGAGGCCCTCACTGACCACTTAGAACTGGGAGCTCCACCTCTCTGGCTGGCAGGAAATTGGGTGG